GTGTCTTTTTTGTTGCCAATGCTATTATCAGCAGCTTTAACTATTCAACTACAGAATGAAATCAGAGCGAGCAGTTTAAATGAAAATGTGCATCACAACAAAGACGCCTACCCGCAAATCCAAACAACATTGACATGACTGATGTTGTCGTGACCTTAAAGACCTGTGCACTTAAATATTATGTCTTGCATTTGTCCCAAGTCCATTTGTGGAGGCCTATATAACACTATATGACAATTTTTTTTTAATGAAAACAATTATTATCAATCAATATAGACAAATCCACCAAAAAAAAGTACAATCGTATATACAATACACAGACACACTTTATTTCTAAAATGTGTGAGATTTCATAACACTTTGAAGCAACTTTTGTTAAAGTTAAACTCATCATTCTATCAATGTGCAGAAGCCAGTACTTTTCCCTTGTTTTGTCTATCTGAAGGCCAAGCTACATGGCACTGTGGCAGCTGCTGATTGGAGGTCTCCATGCCTCCGCTCTGTATAATACACTTGCATTCTATTGTATCTGTGTTTGTGTTGTTCGTGCTGTCTCTACCATCGACAATAAAACATGTCTTCTGTCTGAATTAAAGACGCGATCCCAGACTATGTCATCTTCTTCAGGTGGTGGAGGATGCGGGCATTGTCTGTAACATCTACAGAACAGAAGACTTTTTTTTTTACACAAAAATGTTTTTTTTTTCAAGCCAAAACTGAGAAACCTCAAGAGAAACTATGCATCTGGATCAGCACTTGAACAATCTGCACAGCCCCTGATTCCAGTCAGGCTGTGAGCTGCTGAGACATGGACAATACCATCGTCCTCTTTTGGATGGACATGATTTGGAACAATTGGATTTCTGAATTTGGACATAATTTGGACTGAATTGGATTTCTGAATCTGGACACTGAAGCTGAAATGTGTGATTAAAAGACACGTCACAGAAGAATTCATGGCTCGACACAACAGATGCAGCCTGAAGAAACCAACACAGAGAAGTGGGAGAGACTGTTTTCAAAGCAATATCTGGAACCATCGACTGATGAAGTTTGGTATTTTACTGAAGATTGTTGACAAGTTTTATGAAAGATCTGAACATGTTTTATGAGTTTTTGAAGTATTCCGAGTTCTGAGTTTTTTGAAGTACCGAGTGAAGTACCGAGTTTAAGTATCAGCCACCGGGCGGCACGGTGGCTGAGTGGATAGCACTCTTGCCTCTCAGCAAGAAGGTCCTGGGTTCGAATCTGAGTGGAGTTTGCATGTTCTCCCCGTGTCTGCGTAGGTTTCCTCCGGGTACTCCAGTTTCCCCTACCGCAAAAAATATATACAATAGGTCTGGCATGTGCCTCCTGTACTGGTGACCCAGCTCCCATCTCTGTGTGGAGTGAGTGGACAAATGCCCAAAAATTTACAATTGTAAACCGCTTTGAGACTCAGATCTGCAGTGAAAAAGGTGGTATACAAATGATTTCTTACTTACTTACTATTGAGTCATGATGTTATGTTGCTGTTTATCGATCCTGATGGTCACACGTGAATGTGTGACCAGAGGGGGGAATGTGAGATTTCATAACACTTTTAAGCAACTTTTGTTAAAGTTAAACTCATCATTCTATCAATGTGCAGAAGCCAGTACTTTTCCCTTGTTTTGTCAATCTGAAGGCCAAGCTACATGGCACCGTGGCAGCTGCTGATTGGAGGTCTCCATGCCTCCGCTCTGTATAATACACTTGCATTCTGTTGTATCTGTGTTCGTGTGCTTTGTTCGTGCTGTCTCTACCATCGACAATAAAACATGTCTTCTGTTTGAATGAAAGACGCGATCCCAGACTATGTCATCTTCCTCAAATGCACACAAGAATATTCTACCGACTATTTCCCATTTGTGGATAGATTAAAGAAATTCTTTATTCGTCCCATGGTAGGGCATATGAGAGAGATGTTGAATTTAACTAGAATATGAATATGAATATTTTAGATATGTTCCAAGCATTTCCATGGCGACCAAGGTGCGGACTTAATCTGGAAGTTGCGCGGGGCATCTTAAGTTGTTCCTAATTCTTAACATCGAGTAATAACCCAACTGATTTCTGTAGCTCTTGTGAGGTTAAGAAACGCTATAATAACTAGATACAAAATAGCCTCAAAAACACATCTTGCTGGAGTCGGCCTGTGCCATCCTTTGGGCACATCCATGACTTACTTCATTACATCATTGTCGTGCTGCTGCCAAACCATTTGCGTGAGACTGGTTTAAAAAGGACAAATGTTTCGTGTTCCCTGTGGATATTTTTGCTCATTTCCAGCTTTAGAAAATTGTGTTAGCTTAACTGTGCCGAGTCAATTCCCAGAACGGAAAATAACACACTTTACTATGAGATTAGAATGACTTAACTAGTCTCAGGATACTATTTATTAATGAGGCAATAAAATAACAGGTGAGATAAACTGCAGATATTTCAAATGTGTTTTTAGCAGTGTTGTGCCAGTTCACAGCTTTTCTGAACTAGTTCAAGTTTAGTTCATCCATGCTCAAAGTGAACAGTTCACGTTCAAATTTCACATTTTTAATTCTGAACTAGTTCAAAGTTCAGTTCATTTTACTTTTTTTGTGAGATACTTAAATACATATGTTTTTCACACTACGAGCTATATATATATATAATTGTCCACTCACCTTTGGCCCTCCGCGGGCGGTTATCCCTCTCTAAGCTCGGGTCCTCTACCAGAGGCCAGGGAGCTTGAGGGTTCTGCGCAGTATCTTTGCTGTTCCTAGCACTGCACATTTCTGGACCGAGATGTCCGAGGTTGTTCCGGGGATCCGCTGTAACCACTCATCTAGCTTCGGGGTCACTGCCCCGAGTGCACCGATCACCACGGGCACTACTGTCACCTTTACCCTCCAGGCCCTCTCCAGCTCCTCTCTGAGACCTTGGTATTTCTCAAGCTTTATATATATATATATATATATATATATATATATATATAATATATATATATATATATATATCTCCTGTACACCCACAGGAGGAGAGCCTTTTGACCACAAAACAGACCAGATTTACATGGTTTTCAATGGGAACAATACGGAGTTCAATCAATCAATCAACGTTTATTTGTATAGCGCCTTTCCTACACAAGGCAACGCAAAGCGCTTCACATCCCCTATCACATCATGCATAAATCAAACACATTAAGAGCACAGGATATATTAAAAACATTAAAAATAAAATCACAAAAATTAAAAACCTTTAAACATTAAAATTGCTCCATCTCTGCTCATAAACTACAGACAGTAATGCGCTGCAGTGCGTGTGTCTATACTTTATGTCAAATGTAAACGGTGTAAACTTTGTCGCTAACTCACCCTGTGTTTTCATCACGACTCGGGCACATGTGAAAAGCACCAGCTCACACATGTGAGGAGTCGGGGTGCGTTCACCGACGGTGGAAACCGTAGGAATTTTTAAATTTCGGCGGAAAAAGTGCGAGAATACAGGAGGGAGGAACTTTCTCTCGTTGCGTTTCAAAAGAGAAACAGATTCCAACGTTCATAGTGATGTCTGCCGTTCATGACACATAAAATGAACTAATTCACGTTCAAGTTCTTTTTTTAAAAATGTGTTGCGTTCAGTTCAACGTTCACGAAAAAATGAGCGTGTTCAATGAACGCGTTCTTTTGAACTCGTTCACGCACAACACTGGTTTTTGGACAATCGCACAATCAGGAAGAACATTTGTGTTAGAATTATCTGGGCCATATGAAAATCACCATTTGAAATAGTGAACTTGTAGACCAGTGGTTCTCAACTGGAACGATGTTTGGACCATCAAACGTGGGTCCAATTATATGAATGATAAGAAATAGATATATATACGAAGAGTCTATAATCCTGTATATTTACATTCTGCCAATGGGGAAAGTTTTATATTTCAACCAAATTTTCAATGGATATTTCTTAATTTAAGTATGAAAAAAATATATATTTCGGAACAGTTCGGTTCCCAAAAGTCTCACGACCCACTAAGAATTATCCCCTGCCCTGACCCATCAGTTGAGAACCACTGTTGCCCATATCATTTACAGCACAATTGAATCAAATTTGACAAAATAAATTGTTGCAATGTTATTAGAATTAGTGAAATGCGGTAAAACTGGTAGACATAGACATTGAAGTGTATTTGGAAAGCGATGGAAAAAGAGCCATAAATGTCCTGTTTTTGTCCTGCCCCATCTCCTGTCCGGCCCCTGAATAAGTGAATGCTGATGTTAATTACATTTAATGAGATCATGGGGTCGTCTGTGGGGTGCTGCCCTGCAAATTGCTCTCAGCGTGAGGCCTGTATTGAAATAGAAGGGGAGAAAGGGCCTATCCGAGACCTGTTTGCTTACATTTCAGGGGTCAGGGCCCGCGGTGGCTAAGCTGTCACTCTGAACGCACTGAAACATGTCATACATTTGTCTCCTATTGTCTGTCGTGTTGTTTGTCTGGAGGAGATAACCACATAGAGGTGCCTCCATTGTATCAGCCCCATCACATTGGATAACCCCTCCCTTCTCCCACCATCCCAGCCCTGCTCCACGAATGGTCATTTTGACACTATTTTGTAGCTGCAGGGGGTGACTTAAGCAATTTAGGTAATCTATTATTAACTACTAATTGTCCCCACCTACCACGTTGCTTAGACAAACAAAGCCGTTGGGGGAAGCAAGTGCTTGTGGGCTATAAATGTCAGGTTAACAGAGGAGACATCATTGCAACAAGTTGATCCAGCTGGCAGCTCTGGCCCTTCTAAATCTGCTCGACCTTTGGACTTACATTGTAAAAGTTTTTGACTTTTTCCCCCCATAGCTATTCATTTTAGTTATATATGTTTATTTATTTTCATTTTAACCTTTTTTTTACGGTAGTTTTTGAAAATGTTTGGAAATATCATCTGCCTTCTACTTTGCTTCACCTACGCGGAAGCTCGTATTTGGGCTTGGATGCTTAACATGCCGCACAACCCGACCAAAGAAGGCGCTAAAGCTCTCATGGATACCGCTCCTGGACCAAAACCAACAACGGTAAGAGATTTTTTTCAAATTCATTCATTTCCTTTTTGATTATCTAAAAGCATGTAGCATCTTCTTATGACAATGTGACTGATTTCGTTTCATGCTTTTCATTCGGTAAGGCTCTCTGTGACCATGACCGGGCGTGTGGAAGAGGCTTTACTTGCGATCGACACTTCGGTCTGTGTGTGCCTTTGAGAGGAGAAGGACACTACTGCAGGAGAGACGCCCAGTGTGTACGAGGCCTCAGCTGCATGTTTGGGAAATGCCACCGCAGCATTCCCAACGGACAAGAAGGTAAAACAAGCTAACTAATTCATAGTATTGCAAAGTAAAACACAAATTACTTTGGAACTTCTCTGGTATTGGACACTGGACCTGGCAATCTTTGACTCACAAATATGTCCATTGCAGAACTAGAATTTCCCAGCCAAAGAATTTCTACTATTCCCACTAAAAACCAGGTCTAGACCAAGCCAAAATCTAGCTTTGAAGGAGTATTCCCAAAAACAAGTTCACAATACGATTCATGCCTTATTACACAACCTTTTTTTCAATTCATATCAAATCAGGACGATAACAAGTCTATTAAATAGTATTGAAACAGGACTGAACTTGTAACCAGTACAAAACAGATGTAAACAAAGTGTCAGTGTTAGCTGTTTTGAATTACCCCAATGACCCTTCAGCTCTCTCAAGACATTACTGATTTGCACATTACATAACAATAACCAAGTCCATGTGTTGTGCTGTTAAAGCTGGGGTACCTCACTTTTTTCCCTTCGTAATTACGGCATGTAGATCGTCCAAGAGGAAGAAAAGTCAAATGTAAAAGTAAAAGGCTGTCTGCTGTCTTCATCTTATTTGAATACTTGTAAAACAGAGCCCTGTGAGACATTATTTGATGCTTTGGGCTGAGGTCCAAAGCTGTGCCAAAAATACACGCATGAAAAACTAGTTGAACCAACCTGTTTTGAGAAAGAGGAGGCTTCGTCGATTGTATCACATGGTTTAAAAGTTAGGTGCCCCAGCTTTAAGGTAATCCGAAGATCAAAATTAAGTAGTTGTCTGTGTATCCTTTAGCCGTAGAACCATTCCCTCATTCATCCACAATCACACCTCTAGACCACAGAGGCACAAAAATAGTTGTAGTAATAAAATAATGACAAAAAACAAAACAATAAACAGGATGCAAAAAATCTAAGCAGCAATACTGTTTGAAAAAAGGTTGGACTACGCAATTACTCAAGATCTGAAACATGTCCAGAACGATAATGATGATATCAATAGGATCAGCCTGGACCAAAACAGGGACACAATGATCTCTACCAGCACACAATATGTCTCCAATAAAAATAAAAAAAAACACAGATTTAATGTATTCTGACTTCATTGGTTGTGCAGGCGCCAGGTGTAAAGTGGACCGAGACTGCGGAGCGTCCATGTGCTGCGCCCGACACCACGGAGAGCTGGTCTGCAAGAGGCGGCTCATCCGAGGGGAGAGCTGCTACGTCCCCGATGGAGGGCTTGCCTTTAGCATCAACCAAATCTGCCCCTGCGACGACGGACTGCTGTGTCGCGAAAACACGGCGCCCCACTGGAGAGAGTGAGTACAAGAATGACACGAACGGCGTTGATATTGTATACATTTGTTTTCAGTTTGTGTGATATTAACGCGTTCTTTCTCTCTCAGGAGGGAGTTCATCTACCAACTGGAGCGGCCAACCTGGTCCTGTCAGATTCCCCGATCGTAAAAGTTTACGGCGACATTTATTTATGTGTACATATGTATCTATTTGTATAAAAGCAAATGTATTTTTCTATATTTTTTTTATGATAGCACTCAATTTTATAGTTTATTTGTGAGTATTTTACATGTTTATGCATTTGTAGTTTTGCATTTTGTTTTCGTTATGAATAAAGTATTATCTTTGAAGAGGAATTGCATTTATTTTTTAAGTGTAAAGAGTGTAGAACCGCCATAATTGGTATAAATTTAAAAAAGAAATACTGTGGTTTATTAAGGGAAAAGATATAAAGGTCCTGATTGTAACTGAAAAACAAGCAAATAATAATTTAACATCACTTAGCTGCACCATGCGTTTATGGTTTAGGCACAGATTACCTAAACATAATCATTATTTTGTGAACTATATATAGGCAAATATTCAAAACAAGATAAAAACTAGATTAGAAAATGTATTTTACCAAACAGACCTACACAATTGTTGCAATGTTCTGCAGAAAATGATCAATGTTGCCAGGTCGTAAACGGTTCTCTCAGAGGACGTGTTTAAAGGTTTACAGAAGCAAACATTACCATCAGCTTGAAGTTCATTTTATACCCAACAAACACACAAGTGCTCTTTAGCATCTGCCTGGTTTATTAAAGATAAGTCTGTTTTTATCTTCATTGAAAAAGCACTGACTCCTCTTGCCCATAATAAATGACCTGCAGACTGTTGTAATTACCAGCTCAATTTTAACATAATTGTAGCATAAAGAATTGTATAAGATTTCAATATGGCAATGGAGTACTGTATATAATTCCCATGCCTTGTTGATATAGTCATACTGTAACATTATACTAAAGACTAATGGGAATAATATTTACCAGCTTGTTCTTCCAGGAGGTTAAACCAAATTAAAACTGGGCAACTCTACCAACTATGTAATGAAATGAAAATACTAAAGTTCCTTGCTCCCAACAGCGTGATTCTATTATTATTTTTCACATGCATTTATTTTTGGCTTCTTCACTCAGCCAATCAGCCTAAAGCATCAAATAGTGACTCACTGGGTTCTTCCTTACAAGTATGAGACAGGTTTTCAAACTAGATGAAGGCAATATGTTGTGGTCTGAATCTTTCTATTGGGACGAACAACATGTATTTATGAACAAAGTAAAGTTAGGTACCGCTGCTTTAAGTTGAGCCAAAATCCTAGTGTCCTGGCTCTGGATAATATGCTAAATAGTTCTTGCAGGAAACCGTGAACCTGCTGCTCCTGCTGTAACTTCAGTCTGAAACACAAGCTCAGTCCTGACCCATGCGAGATCTGTATCTGCTCTGACTCCTCCTCCTCAATCCCACAGCGACGTCCTTGTGATGCTAATTATCTCAAGACTCACATTTTAGTCCCTCCTCGTGTTGCTTTTCATTGGCTGGAAGTTGCAAAAAACTCGATAAATCATTCAGAACATTTAACCTTTGTTACTTGTATCATACCAGCTGTCATGTCAGTCCAAGTGCTGCATGTTTCTTTGGTGAGAAAAACAACCACGTCTCAAGTTGTTTTGAGCTGTTGATTCTGGCGTAATGGGAGTGAGAACTAAAACAGAGCAACATAAATCTTGCGTTCACATTCTTTTTAATGCACTGTGCTGTATTTTTCTGTGTAGGAGGAGCTTTGTGTTGCCTCGCGTAGGACTAGCGCTCTACAAATGAAAGTTGATTGATTCTAAAGTTTTCTTTGAAACGGAGTATTTATGACTCATGTACGTCTCATTTTTGGCCCTTTGATCTTGGGTTATTCTTAATTACAATACAATATTAATGTTGATATAACAAATTATCCAATTCAAAACTGAAGGAGTCTTTCATTAGTTGCAATCAGTTGCTAGTTTGTTGGGTGAAATTGAACTGTACTCTGCTTTTTTTCTTTCTTTCCACCACATATATTTAAATTAAACCATATACTGGTCGTCATATGTAATCCAGAGTTAGTACCATTCCTAGCTAAAGCCCAGTAGGTGGATTGCATCAGTAATCGGTAACAATACAGGCATTAGTGTATGCTTGTTGTGTAGTTCAACATAATCATATAGTTTGCATTCAAAATTACTAGATATTTTTACCCGTAGAAATGTTTTTAATGTAATGCCCATTTGTGTGTCTGCTCATTTAATTTTGATCTATGTGTTTTATTTAGTATTTCTATGTCACTTCTACTCAGGATGTTCCTGTGGTTTCTTTTACTCTGTATAGGTGTGACTGTAATGGTATATTTTGTTTTTGTAATTATGATTTGACTTTTTACTCTGGCAATAAATATCTTGAGTCAAATAAAAAAAACCCTAGAGCATGAAGAACAGTGGTGGTTAGTGTGGGCCGAGTCTTATCTGCCACTATGAACCTGCCCTTATGCTGTTTGAGCTATTTAGCCTCTTAAATGGTGTCAAGTTCGTCAACGGGACAATGAAACCACACCAAAGTCTTTGTTAAGAACATTTAGAGAACAAAACCACTAGTAAAGGCAAATGCTATCGTACTACACATCATTTCTCCTGCATTGTTGTTGTACATATACCACCATTCTCAATTTAAATGCACGATTCTTGCAAAGGAACCTGTTGTGCTAATCCCACGAGGTATAGGGCTAATTTGAAAGTCAATGTCCGACAAGCACAGAAAGCTTTTGTGAGCAGATCCACAATGGACGAACCAATCCTCCCAAAGTGGAAAGTGGTGAAAGGAGAAACGAATTCAAGTGAAATGGGACAGTATAAAACGCATCATCCGGTCTTTTAGGCGTGAGCCACTGGACATAGCGTTTACATCAGGCAGTCATGAAGAACCTCTGACGTCAAACCAAGCCATTTCTGTTCCTATTCTTTACGTCTCAGCTGGTGAGTGATCGAAAACTGCCGAACAATGTTGAGAAATGTCAAAAAATGTGTGTTCTAATTTACTTTTTGATAAATGAACGCAGCTTCGCACAATGGCAGTGGACATATTGTCGATATTGTTGGCGGTTGTACAAGTCGCACTGACATGTCCACCTCAAAAAGCAGGTAAAAAGAACATAGAAAGGAAGTTGTTTGTCTTTCACTATATGCAACTTTATTAATAATGTATGTTTTAACTTGATTGGTTCACTCTTTGTTATGTATTTATGTTTAGGACCGCCTCAAAAATGAGATCTCAAGGGGATTTCCTTAAATAAACTTAAACTCTTGAGTCCTATCTTCTTGTACATTCAAATGGTTTTTCTCTGTTACAGATTATGTGATGGTCTCGTGTTTCCCCAACACCATCATCGCCCATGTGCCCGAGTGTCCGTACGGATGGGAGATTGAGCAGCTGTCTTTAGGAGGAATGTGTTACTCCGGGGTCCACAGTCCTGGATACTATCGCTTCATCATCCCAGACCTGACGCCCAGGAACCACTCGTACTGCGCCACACAGTCAGAGGTGAGGCCTTTTTCTGCTTTCTCCTCAAGCTTTATGTCATGCTCATTTGCCGACATACACTGGAGTAATTTTTTTGGTTGAAGCTTTGTTCAAAAATACATGGGGAAGTATTCAGAATCAGAATCAGTATCAGAATTCTTTTAATTGGCAGTGTGCGTAACAAAAAGTCACAAACTGAGAAATTGCTTTGTCTCTCAGTGCAAGAGTATACATAGAATAAAGCATGCATCCAAATAAATAATCTACATAACATTTCTTAAAATTACTACTATATATAAGTGCAAGTTACACACAATAGACGTTTCGCAGTGCAGTAAAGTGATGGTTATAAGGGCAGGGGACAGTTTTGAAAGTACAGTATATACAGTACAGTAGGATGTTCCCAAATTCTAGCAAAGAACCGCCCTCTCCACTTTTTGAAATAACTCTCTGGTCTTGTTTGACGAGCACATATCAGCAGAATGATTGACATAATGATCAGGAGGACCAAACCAGTCTTGATGATCTACCCTGAAGTAGAAAACCTTTGACCTACTGATGAGATCCTGCAAGAGTATGAACTATTCTCTGCAAAAATGCAAAGTTATTAGCCCTAAAGTCTTGGTCATGTTGCTAGAATAAGATATCAAAACAATACCATTTGGATTTATGTATTTAACTGTTTTTGGGAGCGAGCCAGTATAAGTTATAAAGCAACGCAAAGGAATCGTAATGTACAATAGACAAACACATGTTGTTGATTTCACAGTACATTCCTGGCAAAGACCCAAAGTACATCTTCTATAACTCCATAGTATCCAACGACACGACTCTGATCGTGAGGAACCAGCCCGTGAACTACACCTTCAGCTGCATGTACCGAGCGGCCTACCTGGTCAATAACGCCGTCTTCAGTCAGAGGTAAGCATCGCCCCAGAATACATTTACCTTGTATCTTTCTGTGTGGGACATTTCCAGTCTAACACAACGACTTGTAGGTCTTTTACTAAACACTTTGCTTCTTCCAGAGTGGCTACAGTTTATGTGAACAACGGCAGTATAGGCACATTTAGGTCACAGTTGTCTATGACGGCCTACACGGTGAGTGATTCTTTGTGGATTTAGATTCTCCAGCGGAAGCCCTCAATTAAATACCAACATTTATTTATAGCCTTTAGGCATGTTAGAGGAAAAATTAAAAAACCATGTCAAAACTGGAGCTGGGCTTCAAATTATTTGCCTGAGATTGTTTCGAAGATATACAGAAACAAATATTGTCGATGTGATCAGTTTTTCCATGTCTTGCTAAAGGAAGGAATATCCTATGAGTGTCTGAGTAATGCATAATACAAATATTGTATTAGTTATGGATGAGTAACATGTTATTAAAATAAAATAACTTCATATTGCAGAATTCCAAATTCCTCTTTACAAAGGACGCTCCGTATATCATCGATACGTCAGACATCGGGGCTGAAGTCTTCATAGGCATCGAGGCCAAAGGACTCAGTGGGAGGTCTGTATTAATGCAGTTTGGTTATTTGACTGTTAAAGTAAAAGTTGAGATAAAGATCTCAACACGATTGTTCCGTTATTTCAGATTCCGAGTGGTCATCAACAACTGCTGGGCCACTCCAACGCCGTACTCCACAGACAGGAAGAGATGGAGCCTTATCATTAACAGGTGAATGAAAACTACACAGTGGCATTATTGGAGAGAATTATATATAAAAATTATATATGTAACAATTGTATTCTTGCAATATTTATTTGTAAACAATTATGTAATTATGAGTGAAATTTGAATAATAACTAGTCCAGATACTCTACCATCACTAACAATGGCCCCAGTCATTGTAAAGGCAAGTAAAAGCAGGAATGACACAGTGAAGCCGGTCATAATGTAGTTGGTTTTGGTAAAGATTTTCTGAAGATAGAAAGGTAAAAGTAAAAAAATGAAGAGTGGAAAATAGGAAACGGTTTGTGGTTGCGGCTATAAAAAAGCAACAATGTCTTTGTGCGTCCTGTTGTGTAGTTGTGCGTCGGACCACACCGTGAGCATATTCGAGAACGCCAAAGACAGCCGCTCCATGTTCAAGTTCAACTCTTTCCGGTTCCGGCGTTTGGAGAAAGTGTCGACCGTGTGGCTCCACTGTGAAGTCCACATCTGTGACAGCGAGAGGCTCAACTGTATCCCTGTGAGTCCAATCTTCATCTTCATCTTCATCTTCAAACTATTATTGAGGGAGGATTCATTTCCTCTCTTTGGAGCCCGACAGAGTGGCTACTTATAGTGCTGCAGTTTGCTACATTTTTTAGATTGAAATGTGTGTGAAAATTGTGCATTACAGGACAATGGGAATAAAAAAATATAAATAAAATAATGGAACAATAATTTTTTTTTTTTAAGCTGTAATACTAGGGACTATTATTTGTATGTTGTACTTGTATTTATTTATTTATTGAAGGGATAATGCATAACTAACGGGCCGCCATCACATGACCATCACAACCAAAATATTAACATTCACGACATTAGTAATCAAAAGTCCATTGTAACTCGTCTGAAATATATGTATATGAACTAATAATAAAAAAATAAAGTGATAATTATTTATATAAGGGTGAATATGTTTTAATAATGTGTGTATGTGATATTGTGCCTCAGAGCCCGTGTTCAGCCAGAAGCCTCACTCCACAGAGCGACCCGAACGGAGGAATTCTCACCACAGAGTTTCTCATCAGGGGTATCACTGTTACTAACAAATAACTCATCATGATTTTTGACAACAGTGACATTGTTTTGAATCCTGCAGGTAATGGAACTACTAATAAAGGACACTCGATGGGTATGTACTGTAATGTAAACTGGATGATAGCGATGTTAGCCCCTCGTATCACTTGTTTGTCTTTTGCAGGGATCTCGCTGCTCCTGCTCATGTTCGTCCTTAAAAATACATTTTGTGATTTGTAAATGTAGAAAACGAGACCAACCTGATCAACAAAGCAACCCAACTTTGTGCCTGGATTTAATGAGATTGAATGCATTTTGAACAGACCTCATGCCATCAGTTTGTCCCAAAAAGCACGACTGACACATACATAATTCTAAATATACACAGTTCTTCACATTCATCCCTCATTTAATAAAATCGTTCTTTTCTGAGAACATGTGTTTGTTTGAATATCTCTAATAAACCTTCTCAAGTCAAGTGAAGCTTTTGAAATGAACGAATGCAGGATTCACTGATTGTTCTGAGATAATTTGGATCTATTTAACTGTTCATGAACAAAGGCCTCTTAAGTTGCACTTTTTAATAAATAACAATGAAACACATTCATAAATAACAAAGTGTACAACACATGATGAGATAATATCCATTCATCATATAGACAATTCCCCTCACAGCACCAGCAGACATTCACTGATCATGAATCATAGTCACACAAAAACAAAATCCATCTTGTTTTGCTGCCAATAGACTGACCTGGTGTGAGTCGAGTGCATAAATATTCCAAAACATTGACATAGAAACTCAGAAATATCTCGTGGTCATTTTAAATATTCACCGCCGGCATCTGGCTCTCGGTCTTCTGAGGCTTAATCAGAACGTTCTGTGTCCTTTTATCAGCTGCTTTGGACGGTCCAGGTTTCTAAGACATGTTCATGCAAGAACACATCAAATCCACAACCACAAATACAACGTTTATGGTCAAGTCATTTTCAAAATGTTTTGCATATTACATTTCTACCTGATTATAAAATGATTGCCTTGTTATTGGCAAAAACATGTAAAACTCCATACATGTACATTTGATAGATGAAAAGAGGAAGCAGGATTTTCCCATTATGAAAATGTATTTTTGTTTTTGTTGACCCTGGATCTTTCTAGTGCGATGTCAGGCTTCGAACATCCGGATTTTACCTTCTATTTTTCTCAATATTTTTTCATGTTTTCCTTGATTTCAACAGTATTGTTATGATGTCATACATGCTTTAGTATATATTATCTTGTAACTTTTCAGGACTTCAGGTTCTTCTTTTGACATTGAGTGACATTAACAAAGTGAATCGATGTCACTGGTAACTTCCATAATTCATGTTGACATGTGTTGGTAAATGTGTGTTACCTCTTGCAGGGGCCTGAGGGAGTCTGCTGCTGGAGAGTCGTGTTGGAAGGGAGGAGGGTTGAAGCCTTGTTTATTCAGTAACCAGTAAGTTTTATGATAACCTTTTCCCTGATATAAAACAAATATATTATAGGAAAACATAAATAATGTAATGATCAATACTCAATGACAGATTTACCTTCATTTCCACCTCCCCCCTCTCCTCCATCTCAAAGTCTCCCGTTGTGAACAGGACGTCTGCAGTGCTTTGTGTGATGTGGATCTTTAGAGCTGTTTGCAAATATGGCATGGTGTTAAATTCAAAATCGACATACATGAAAGGATTATGCAAAACAAGGTAATATTAAAAAACCCATTGTTCCTTACGTAAGCTGTTACTTTCCATCCTGGATGCCATGTTGACTGTGTCACCGAACAAGCAATAGCGAGGCATTGTTGTTCCTACCACGCCTGCAACAACGGGACCTAGACCCAATTCATAGAAAACATTAGATTTACACTATACCAAATTTGGATAAACACATAAATACAATACTTTTAGGTAAATAAGGCTTTAGATAAATACATGGCAACTGTTTTCCAATAGTAGACTCATCCCAGTCCAAGCAGATCTGCTTCTTTCGTCCAGCCAAGTAACGAGTGCCTCAGAACATACTTTCTCTGCTCATGTTATGTGTAATGTCATTATTTATATAGCACATGTCACTGCCCAGGGTCGCACAAAGCTTTACAATGTGGTGTATTTTCCATTCCCTTCACCCTGCTTCACACAGCTGCACACCAGACTCTCCATTGCCGTCCATTCATATTGTCCATGTTTTAGTGGACAATATGAATGGTGGCAGGGGAAATCTACGCAGACAAAGGGAGAACATGCAAACTCCACACAGAAAAGCCTCCTGTCTAGAATCATACACTGGATCTTCTTGCGGTGAAGCACAAGAGCATACGCCACCACCGAGCTGACCGTGGCCGAGTACTAGCATCACAATGTTTTAAGTTTGTTCACTCTTTGATCATTTGAGCTCTCTTGAATCAGTTGCATGCACCTCTTTTTAGTAGCATCTTAATATTTTACTTCGATAATAAAACATACATCAGTGTATTTAGTGTGTTGTAAAAAAAAACGTACGCTCTTGCTTTTCTAGATTGATGCTGAACTTTATTTTGTTGCATTGATCTGATTTTGTAATATCAATAAAGTTGAATCTATTCTATTCCAATGTACTGTAAAATATTTTTCATTCATACTGAAAAAAATTAAACCAATTAAATTCTAACATTGATGTGACAAGGGAAAATCTGAATTGCTAAGTTACTGTATAATCGCTGAAGTGACCAGTGGCAAAGTAGTTCATAAAGTACAAGTTATGATGGAAAATCCAAAGATGTAAATGACCAATGAATGAACCCATTAGTTCAATACAGTGACAGCCGTGAGGGAAAGCAGAAAATGGACCTTTAGCGTTTCTTTAGATGTCAAAAACACCAGACGCCCATTTTGATCCTGACCTGAATGAATCCCCACGCGGATCGCCAGGCTCTCGTTCTGCATGTGGCGGATCCTGAAGCCTTTTATTGAACTCATAAAGTGCAGAGCCATGGTACAGATCTCGATGGCGTGTTTGTTTCCGTTGCTGATCGGCAGTCCGCTCGCCACCATGTACGCGTCACCAATTGTCTCCACCTGCGAAACTCAGGATGTACATTTCAATACATTCTTTTTCTATTCTATTCTAGTGACCTGTATAGTCAGATATTAACTGAATGACAAGGTTACTTATGATTGGATTTAGCTCTTTTTTTATTCAAGATAACACACAATAGACAAATGACATATTCTATCAATATAGGCTAATTAACAGCAAAAATAGCTACAAAGGCCCAATAGCACTGAAAATGCTCTAATCACTCAAAAATAGTATCTTTTCTAAATAGTATTGATAGCACGTTTTCTTATTTCTCTTGTTTGTAATGTACAATCAGAGTGTAGGACTACAACATGATCAATATTCACAAACCTTGTAGACGTCGTACATCTTGATGATATCGTCAAAAAGGCTGTAGAGGTCGTTGAGAAAAGTCACCACCTCCATCGCGGAGCTGACGGCGCACATGGACGTGAAGCCCACGATGTCCGAGAAGAAGATGGTGACCAGCTCGTAACTGCGCGGCTCCACACACTTCCCGGCCATCAGCTGATCGGCAATGTACCTGCGAGAGGAGCAAAGACAGGATGGCAGAAGATCGCAACATACATTTCCATCTGGAAATAATCAGACGGATGAATAAGAAAGATGTTTTTTGGCATGTTGCAGGCAGACTCAGACAGAACTATGGCATGACATATGGGAGGGATTCCAAGTAGAGATTGTGAAAATAAACTCCTCCGGAATCTAAACCGTGGTGGTGGTTGGAGCTGAAGTAATGAACAGTTGGGATGGTCCTGGTTTGATTCTTGGGTCACACAAGGTCTTTCTGTTTGGAGTGTTCTCCCAGTGTCTGTGTAAGTTTCCTCAGGGTACTCCGGTTACCCCTGCCCACATGTAAAAAAGTTCGAGGTGTATAAATTTGTGTTTGTAAGTGCGACTATGGGACAATGGATGTACATTAACCCATGACTGTCCCAACCAGATCAAATAAAAAAACCCTAAACACGAAGAAAGATTGTCCCACTGTTTAAGATGATGGGGAGGAGGAGGGTGACTGCATGAGCTGAAGCTGTGCACTGTTTAAATGCAGCCAGCACAGTTCTGTAGTGACTGGTGTAAAATGGGATGGGAGGACTACATACCATGAGATAAATTGTTTTCTAAATGAGTAAATAAGGAGCCGATTGTACGTGTGCCTAACGTGTACGTGTGTGTCTTACCATTGCAGAGAGTACCTGGGTAACATACTGGAGAGGAGCCTGTCCGCTCGCGCCTTCTCCAGGGTCAGCTGATTGGTCCGATCCTCCACCACCTCCTCCAAGTGGTTAGCATATTTCTCCAACTTATCCACCATATTGTCCAGTATGTTTGTGTGACTATAGATAACAATAGCAGTCAATAATCAATACATTATCAGTGTCAATAATAAATAGTCTGATAATAAAGTCTGCACATATTTTTCACAAAACAATAAGGGTTTTTAAATCTTATACTCAATGGAAAATATTGAACTTCACTAAATTCATATTAGTGATGTAAACAATGTCATAATGGCCCAGAGTTTTGGAAAAGCTGTAAATTCTGTCTAAAACCTTTATCGGAAGTCTGTTTTTGCGAAGTGAATATTTGGAATTTAAACCTTTTAATGGCAGTATAAACACACATCATATATAATAATTTTCCATTTATTTGTAGCCAACTTTGTTCTTAGTTGTGTTTGAGCAACATGTATCTTACCCCAGAAGAGATAGCAGCAGCTCACGATATCAAAAATACATGTGGCTGTCTGTGTTCTGCTTCTGATTACAAAATGTTTTAGTCTCGCAGGAAGTGGTTCGCTAATGCTCTTGTTAGCTCACTGTGATGTCCCAACTGACTGCGGGCTCTAACAGTTGTGAGAGCTATTTTAAATCATCCCAGTCAAACAATTAGATTTGTGAGAGAATGTGGGGGGATATCCTTGGACTACAGCACAGACTTTAAAATGACCCGGGTTTCTCAGTGGACATGATTGCGGTCTGAAAGTGGCACCTGTCTGGGCTGATCTCCCGGAGCTGTCTGCGTATGGAGCCAAACGGGGGCCTGTGGTCGGGGTTCTCGCTCCAGCAGACTCGGAGCAGAGAGTTTATGTTTTCCGCACACAGTTGTTCGGACAGAGACGGACGCAGCGGTTCGCCCTGGAATGGGGTCCTGAGCTGCATGATGATCTCTGTCAGAAACATGAGAAAACGTAACGACATGAAAAGTTCCCCAAGCTTTCTGCACTGTCAACGCCTTTGTTTTTCTGGAGTTTTATTATTGACTGCATTATGGTTGGACTCAAATGAACAGATGTGAAAACTTTACTCGGAAACCAGCAAAGTTTTGTTGTTTTCCCAATGTATTAAATATTTTCACAATGATGAACGTAAATGAGTAACAGATTCAAATTCAGTTCTTTTGCTATTTACAGTTTGAAATTACATTGGAATAAGAACCAATGTGCATGAGACAATTTCAAAACATTAAAAGACTATTGAAGGCTACAGAGGAAAACAACAACAACATCTTGCATCTTAACAACGATAATATCTTCTCCTGGTTGGAAGAAGCTGGAACATGGCTTTCCCGGGCCTTGAGTGGAGCTTTCTTTGTTTGACTTTGATGTTGGCAAACCACACGGGCATAGAACCAACAAGCAGACTTTTTGTAAATCGTATTTGCTAGGTTTCTGCAGAAAGAAAAGACTCATGCATTGTTGAAAATGTGATTTATGTTTAAACCCAGAAAGAGTTTTCAGCTCTGTGGGAGATTCATCATTATTGTGTGTTTTATTATACACTCTTTGGTATCCAGTGTGAAGTCACCCTTTTATTTGTTCCACTTTGGTGACATTTCATCATTTGAAGATGACGAACATGTGAGTTACACAATGATCGTACAGTTTTGTCAATTTAAAGCCCTGATTTAAAGCGCAATTTACAGGAATATCACATTAATGGCAACGTCTGCCGGCTCTCAACGACATACAATGAGTTAGAAATCATAACAGTGGCCGTATTTGACCCAGATGATTATGAAATTGGTCACTTTTGATAATCCACTGCTCGTCATTCCTCTCTTGATCATAATTTTCTTGTAAAATCTGCTTGTAATCTCCATCTCTCTGCACGCTCTTCATGAGAAACTATATTTATTAGTCGGAGTTGATCCTTAAATGAAAACCAGCGGCAGGCAACTAACCTTTTGGCTCCAGGTTGAAGTCGGAGAAGGGGCCGGTTTTGGAGCTGTACATGAGTTCCCACATGATCATAGAAAAACTGTAGATATCCCCCTTTGGCGTCCCGTAACACTGGTGACCAACTTGTCTTAGCAGCTCTGGCGCGATCCAAAACATCTCTACAACAGAAAAAGCCAAACAAACGTGTAACTAAGGGCACAATGTGGTTTGAATTAACTGCAATGTATTAGATGTATTTCTGCGGAGATCCTGAAGTCAGTCTTAATGTAAATAAATCATTTGTTCGCGCTTGCGTCGTGAGCCAACACAATCTACATGTGTACACACCGACCTTTGTAATTGGAGTTTTCCAGTGAAGCAATCCTTTTCTTCAGAGTATTTTTAAATTCCCAAAGTCCGAAGCCAGACAGTTTAATCTGGAGTCTGCTGTCCACAAGGCATGTGCTGGGCTTCAAGTTACCGTGAAATTTTATGCAACTTTTGTGAATAAACTCCATCCCCTGCGACAACATAGAATATGTATGAATAAATAATCTCTACCACAATAATACGTTTGTCTTAAAAATCACTTTTCCAGATGCTAGATGTGATTGCATTAGGCATAGTAATTGTTGGCCAGCTATTATCCTTTTCCTATTGGGCCTATTCTAAATATGGAAGATTTCAATTTGGGAAGCACTTATCCATCTTTCTTTGATATGATTTCAGTACTTTGATTTTCAGTATCTGCTAATAACCTGTACCAATGTTGAGAAACAAAAAAAATCACAGCTAACTGCTCACAAAATGTGTCCACTTGTGTTTTTCACCATTACGTAATTAACCTGCAAGTAACTACCATTGGCCTAATCAGTATATTAATATTAAATACCCAATTCAATATATTTAGTCGCCAATATTTTTTTGTTAACGTCTTGAATTGGTATATCTCAAGCCACAACATTTTTATTTATTTTTGAATATACCTAACATCATCTCAAGTCATCTCAGAGGACTTCCACAACAACATATGAGAGAATCAAACGGTGCCAACACAGGGAATACAAAAATAACAGACACATAAAAGCCACAGGGGGTGGATGATCGATGGCCGTAAACTTTACCTTAGATCCTCCTGCATTGGCAAAAACAAAGCTCAATATGAAATGTGCAGTCCATACATCAAAGCTGCACCTGCACAAAAACTCCCTTTCACTTTTTTTATTTTTATTATTGGGAATTTAAATAGGGGTTTCTTCTCTATAACTTGTAAACAAATAACAGTTGCATTGATGGAAATTGGCAGGGGCGAAAATTGAGTCATAGTCAGAAAATCTTTTACAGGAAGTTGTCGATAGATATATTTCAGCAATGTTTGAATAACACAGAGGGGTAGAGAGACAAACCAACAGATGTGATTAGATGTGGGGTCACAACAAGAACCCCACATCTATAGCCAAATTTTGCATTTATGATCACTACATTTTGGTTTATTTATACTCAGAGAAAATATGAATTATGACTCAATAGTGGGCTCTTTTAGCTAAAATCAACTGAAGGAACAAGCGGTTATCACTCACATTGACGATATCATAAGCGAAAGAGTGCTTAAACATGCTGTCTATCTCTGCGTCCGAAGCAAAGATATCCTAAAAAAGAAAAACGTGTTCAGCAATGTCCAATAATATCTTCTCTTGAGTGCTTTACCTTGAGGCTGCCCTTCTTACAATACTGCATCACTAAACACACGTTTTGTGGCTCGTTGCAAACTCCAAAAAACTGCACGAGGTTTTCATGTTTCATTTCTTTCATCTGGATCAGCGCATGTCAAAGGAAAAGCAAAAAACAAAGTACATCATACAATTTATGCTGTAATTGCTTTTGGAGGATTTTGTGAATGTATTTACTGCATTAAGCTCTGCAATGATGGACGGCTTCTGAACATTCACCATTGCGTGATCCTTGAGGTATTTGATAGCAACCTGATTCCCCTGAAAGAAAACATTATTGGCATTTCATTTGTTGACTTGATCAGGAACAAAGCGCAAACAATAATCATCATGGTAAAAAGTGGTCCTTGCACATATTAAATTGTTTATTGAAGAAATGAGGGAATCTGGCCATTACAGAAGACTGCTGCCTCTGCGACCCAGCAACCCTTATACTGGAAGTAAATTGATGGATATAATGTTGCCTTTTTTCTTTAAACTTAGTATTTGTGAGTTAAAGCTGGGGTATGTAACGTTTGTGCATAAATACTTGTTCTGATTCTGACAACAGAGTCAAGCGAAATGTGAAAAACTCCAATCACAACAGGCTGTTTTTATCTCATTAGAAAACGTTTTATCTTTTGCATACTTGTAAGAAAGAGCCCTTCGAGTCAGTATTTGGTGCTCTGGGCTGAGTGCGGATTAGTAGAGTGAAGGTATTCCTGTGCCACTTTTCTGTCTGAAAAAGCTGATCTAAGGATGGGACAGAGACCAAAAATACATGCATAAGAAAACTAGACATTGAACAAAAAGTTACCAAGAATACTTTAACCCTAACCAAAACTTTAGCCTTAGCCTGTTGTGAGAACCAGGAACTAGTTTGATGGATTTTATTACATAGTTCATTATTTTGTTGTTTGAAAGTTAAGTACTCCAGCTTTAACCAGGCTTAAACTTAAATCGATGGGGTAAGGGCCGTCAATCAGGAATGTGTGTCTGTGTTCGCTCAGAGAAGAAGAGAAAAAGGCTCTCTTCCCCCATTTCTAGAACATAGAAAATCACTTTAATTTTGATTGCATAAAGGCAGACCTGGTACAGCCCTATACTGGCATAGACATTCTCTTTCCCCGTTTTGTCTTTCAGCCCATAGCTGTTGTTGGAGAAGTTAGACTGAGAGCCTCCGCTGCCGCTGTGACTGGCCGTGGTGCTATAAGACAAAGCCCTGCTCGTCTGAAAATCCCAAAAAAGAATACAATATCAGCCACAAAAATGCATTTAATCTGACATTTATGCGCAATATATTCTTTCACCTTGGATTCTCTGATTATTGTGATATCGCTGTAGTTTATAAGCCACCAGCACGAATCGTCCAGTTTGGTTTGGAGACGCAGCTTTTGCAGAACGAGGATGCCGATGCACAAAACGGCAATCACTCCAATGAAAGGAAAGCTCACTAACAAAGACAGCAGCGCGATATCTGTGACCACAACCCAAAAGAATGTTAGCTCTTAAATTGGCTTAACTGCATAAGTGATCGTAAGCGGGAAGACGCGTACCATTGATTAACCATTCACACAGTTCATTGTTGAAGCCGCACTCGGGGTTGTCAGATGGTGGTTTTCCCTTGGGCCAAATCATGGAAGGGAACATAGCAGTTGGCCTGGGGAGGGGAAAAAAAGGACTTTATTTTGAGATTGCTTGTGTGTGGTTGGGTTCTGTCAAAGTGAAAATGAAGTCCATACCTACCGCACTGTTTTGGTGTGACTTTCGAAATTGAGAATCGGCACAAATTTGGTGGCATCTCCAAAGTGTTGCAGGTCGTATATGGAATAATCCAAGTTTCTCTCCCCGTCGTCGTCAAAATGGACCAGCCCAGAAGCACCTAAAACAGAATCATGCACGTTTCCCTGTCATTGCTGCTTATTATATATTCAGTAATGAAATAGTTTGTAAAAGAAAAAGTATATGTTAAAGGAAGAACTCATTTTGTTCGTCTCAAAAGAAAATAAAATGTTGTGAACAAATGAGATTACAACATTATGTCCATCTACTTTTATCTTTTGAGAAAACATTGAATTTTTTGCATGCGTAAGAAAGAGCCTTTTTAGTCTCCGTTCGAAGTTATGGGCTGAGAGTTGATTGGCTATCCAAACCGTTAGATGGTTTTTACATAGTTAAATTTCATTTGTTGGGTTTTATGAAAATGTGGCAAACAAGCTTCAGGGATCATCCATGTTCAAGAAAAATGTTTACCATAAAACCGGATATTATTTTTCTTTTTCAGCCTTATAAGAAGCTCCAGTCCATCATGCGGATCCTTGCCATCTTTGAGGACTTCTTTGAGGCCCATGGCGTATAGAAGCACGGCGTCATGGAGGTATGCAGAGTAGGGACTAACCTAGAAAGAAATTCAGATTTTAATTATGAAGACTTAATGAGTTATTTATTCATAAAAAACAATCAGAGCAGAATGAGTCTGCCATTTTGGGTTGCCTGTTTGTGGCTGGTCTTAGCTCAATCTTTTTACTCACAAACAAAAAACTACAAAATAATTAGTCATACGTAAAACACAACAGAGTTTGTATCATTTTTAGCTAAACTCCAGCAGGTGGATTGCATCAGAAATTAGAGCTTATTAGCTACATATGTCACTAGCAGGAATATTCTGACAACACAAGTCGGATTGTAAAAGTAATGACATTGATAGACCACTAAAATGTCCCTTTAAATATCTTTCTACTATAAAAGTAAGATGTATTTTTTTCTCACCTCTCTGTCCGATGTGAGGTTGCTCTTAAATGGAGCACTTTTAAGCCTTTCAAAAACTTGGTCGAAGAAGTCGTAATACTCGTAGCCTTCGTAGGATTTCTGACCAATCACAAACGCCATATCAAACGCTCTGATGGCCGGCTGGTTTATTCTGTCGTTTAGAGCGTATTTCCACAAGTTATCCTGAAAGCAGCACATTACAAGTGAGACGTATTGTAATTCACTTTGACAGGTGTTGAGTTTTTAAGCTTTATGTTATGCCTTTGTTAGAGGATCACTCACCACGGCGCCACTGACCTCATAATGTTGGACCAAGAAGAAAATGTATTCTCCATTCATCAGGCCTTGTCTCTCAGCCTCCATCAAGAGAGCCATAGAGTCCTCGCTGTTCGTTATCACCACTATTACTACGAGACAAACCAGTGTGGAACATATAAGAACACTTTGAAAATGATCTATTGAGGTCTCCAGATAAAATAAAACAATCAACAGTGTTTGGAGAACATGAATGCAAACATTTCACATGTTACGTAATGGTCAAAATCAGCTGTGATTAAATAATTCAAACTTACAGTAGTGCTTATGTATTAATTACCTTTCTGTCACTCTCACAATATTAGAACTTGTTATAATACACAGGAAGATCAATTTAATGAGGGACCATTCTAAATCATGCCACAAGAGGGCAGCACCAACAGCAGAGCAGGATATAAACATTGGTGAAACACTATTGTATACATCTTGTGTCTTTAAAAGTGCTATATTATGATTATTAATTATTGAAGAAAACTAAAGTTTGTCCAATTAAACATATGTACAACAATAATCACAACATACCCACTGTATGTGTTTCAGTTTTAATCATTATTTCCTTAGGACCAAATTCTATGGATTCACTTTTTTTTTTTTTTTATTCCAGAGGGAGTATAAACATGATGTATAGATTTGATTTCAGTTATAGCGTTTAAAGAAGGACATATGTTGTCCCTTGTCAAACGATCTAGAACAATGATGGAATAGTTCATTTATACTTCTCTCACCCCAAAGCGTGAAATAGTGACTCACATGGCTCTTCCTTAAACGTGTGTAATAGTTCAAATGTTTTCTAATTTAATGAAGGCAATGGGCAGCTGTCTTTCTTTCTTTAAAGAAAAATTATAACAAATTTGAAGTTCAGTGTTTGCGATACACTTACTGACGGAGGAGCCCTGAATTAGTGCCGGCGGATTGAACTTACTTCTTGCTACTGTGGCGATGAACTTGATGTTGTTATAGCGGAGTTGCCGGTTGCTGGTGTCAAACTTCACGGCAGCGGTGAGTCTGAAATTCTGCTTGAGCGGCTCCTCTACGGTTTTCCACAGAGAGTCCACTTTGTCCCACGTGTTGGAGTCCAGCCCCCCTCCGAGCATGGCCACGTACCTCCAGCCGAAGAACTCCAGAGTCTTCACCAGCACCTCCGCGCTGCGCTTCAGCGGCGGCACAATCTTCACATACGAGTCATAGATGTAACTGTTGTCCATTTTGGAGGACTGACCCACAAAGCCAAACATGGGGATGTTCCATGTTGAGGCGATGAGACCGGTCACCTGTCAAATATATACAATTCATAAAAAAGGCATTGTGCAAACATTGGCTGCAAATGGATAGAATAAGTTATCCCTCAGAGACTTAGAAGGATATAGGAGGCTATATTATCTATGCCTTTTCCATTGTTTTCCTTGTGCCTATGGTCAACCAGACAACTGTGCAGTGAGATGATTTATGTTTATACAAGAATACATTGAATTGAATAAAATCGAGTTAAATTAGTTCAATATTATGGGGTTTTTTATGTAGGAATCTTTTTGTGTTCCTGTTACCAACTTGGTAGTGCACCTACTGGGAACCTTAAGCTTTTGGTGACACAAGAAATGGACAAATCTGATTTGGTTTGATTGGGGACATTATTTGTTCAATCATAGGAGTGAATTAACAAAATCAATGGTTATCTACGATTATTATTGTATCAACAATAACTCACTTTTGTTTTCCTATTCCACATAAAGGACACACACTCACGGTGAGGCGTCTTTCCAACACTACGGCCCCCGTCTCTGGAACAGTCTGCCGGAGGAGCTCAGGGCCGCAGAGAACGTTCATATTTTTAAAGCCAGGCTCAAGACACACCTTTTTAGATTAGCTTTTGATTAGTATTTATTAGTCCATTTTTATATATTCTATTTATCCTTTATTATTTATTATATTGCTATTGCTTTTATTCATGTTTTGTGTGATAGTTCCTTTCAGGCTCACATTTTAGTGTTTTACTTATTGTATTGTTTTTAAGTATCCCCAGTGTTTCCTCTGGAGGAGCCCTCTGCGCTGGGAGCGGTGGTTGGCTGTGGCTGTGGGGGTCGGACTCTTGGACCTGGTGGGGGCCCGGGGCCTCGGTTTTGGGTCCCCTCTGGGTCCTGTGTCGTCCCCTTTGGCTATGGGCGGCTCTCTGCTCCTGGCGCTGACGGCTCCTTGGATGGCGTTTCTTCAGCCGGTTGCATCTGAACCCTGCCAAGTCTCTTATCATCGTTTTATTGTTTTATCGGTGCGTGTGTGTGTGTGTGTGTGTGTGCGGGGGGGGGGGTTTGCTTGTGGTCTGGGGAGGGTCTGTTGGGCGGTCGGGGGGAGGGCATGGGCAGGATTGTTTTTTAGCCAAACTGTAAAGCACTTTGTGTTGCATCTGTTGTATGAAAAAGCGCTTTATAAATAAACTTTGATTGATTGATTGATTGATTGATAAAGATAATTGTTCCAGACTACAGTGTATGTTACAATCAAAGGGCCCTCTGGATTTGATTATTTTTTTTTCTTTACTTATACCTTCTTTTAAAATATAAACATCAAACTCCCCATAAAATGTGAGCGATCAAAATAAAAAGGATTCTCAAACAGTATAATATTTTACTCATATCCAGCCGTTTTAATGGAAAATACAGTGAATGTAAAAAGGCAGGCAAATCATGGGCGTGAATGCTTCCAAACCAGGTCAAACACAGAAATAAACTTTGCTTTACTCAGGACAAATGCAGGTGTGTGAACGTATCCCAGATTAGAAGCCTATGCTATCCAGAAACAGAGGCGTCCCTTGCCATTAGTCAAGGCAGAAAGCTGCCTGGGACCCTCAAGCCTAATCTTTGGCCCTTCATTTGGCCCTCAGTGTTTATAAAGACTATATAAACACCGAGGGCCAAATGAAAGATGAGATTTTGTAAGATTAATACACTTTGATTGGTAGTTTTTGTGATTAATTATAACATGATGAGTGTAGTGAACAAGCTTATAAAAAAGCTTTGTTTCACAAGAAGTACTGAAGTACTCACAATTTTCTATGGTAGACTGTACAGTATGTCAGGCAGGCCCCAGGCCTATCCATTCATTGTTCAAAATAAGAAATTATCTACATTTAATTTATATTAATGTAAACAAGTAATAGATGATGCATCTTACCTTATTATGATATACATATATATTTATACCTGTAATATGAACCTTTTTTTGTGGTTATGTGGTCGGTAATGGGGCGCCCAAGGACTCTGTTGCCTGGGGCCCCGGGGTACCCTTGGAACGCCACTGTCCAGAAATATAAAGTTTTTGTTAAGAACATGTATTATATTATGTTTCTCCCATTGTTACATTGAGTTCACTTGCTTCACCAGGTACATACATTTTGGCACTATATTTAATCAGCTTTAAATCCAAAACAGATTGGTTCACTCTGCAACCAAGATGTAATATTAGGGATAATCCATTATCACATTATTACAGTCAAACCTCAGAAAGATTGAAAGTAAAAAAACTTTCTTTGCAATCTAATCTTGGCTGTTGAAAATAATTGTAATAAATATGTATAATGAATCTCCACAGCGATCTGGATACTAATACATATTTATGTAGTAGTATATTTATTATGTTGCTTACTTTTTGTCTTATTTTCTAACAATAGTTTTTTACAATGGAGATACTGAACAAAGTCTACATCATACCAAAGTGTAATCATTATAATCATAATCATTGTGACGTCAAAGCTACTCAATCCCATTATACAAGAGTTCTCTGTAATCCTAAATCTGTATAAATACTTGTTTTGGGGTACAAACCTCTGCCTCTTCGGGACAAGCCGGTCCGAACAGCGCAGACACGTTCTCCTTCCAGACCTGATGGATGAAGCTTCCCAGGGACACTTTGGGGTTGCACTCTGTATCCGTGAAGACGAAATCCAGGGTGTAATTGCCCAGAATAGCCGGGTTGTTGTTCACCTTCTCCACAGCGATCTGGATGGCCGCTCCCAGCCTCAGCGCACTGAAGGGGTACGATATGTTCCATGGGGCCTGGAAACCAATCAGAATCTTTTTGTTGGAAGCATTGGTCCTGTTGTTTTGGGAGTCTGTGGTCGAGGGGATGAGGAGAGTGAGGAAGAGGAGCAGCGGGAGGATCATAGTAGACTCAGGTGATGATAACAGGTGTACGAGGAAGGAGCTTAACTTTGCACTGAGGAAACCAGGCTTAAATACTCCCTCTGAATCCTCTAGTGATGGTGAACAGAGGTGGGAGGAGGAGCAGGGTAAATGCAAGGATTTAGAAGAATAAATAAATATATAAGTAATTGTGGAGGGATCTATTTGATATATATATTTACTCATTATAACACATTTACTTTACAAATAAATGCCATAACACAAACATTCAGTCATTATGGTATGTCTATATCATGTGGAGATCTGTCGTAACCAGACTGTTGTTGTGGTTGTGTTTCACTCTGTTAATAATATTAACAGTAATTAATACTGAAACTGCCTTGAAACTTAGCATCTCTTTTTGGCTCTCTGGTCAGTGAGGCTAATCTCACCAAGTCATAGCCAAATTGAATGATCTATTCTTTATTCTGTTAATTGTTGACTGTTGTTTTTTCCGTAATGTACAGATGTAGTTTGTTTTGTGCCTTTGTGTCCGACTCCTTTTCTGGACTATTTTCACGTAATCTTTAAAGTTTGAGCTTTTTGCTACAGCTTACTCCTTTTAATACTATTCTATACTATAAGACACTTCAATGGTCTACTGCAGTGTCTCCCAAAGTGGGGTCCGCGGCCCCCTTGTGGGCCGCGAGGGTACTGCAGGGGGGCCGCGGGAGGTCATAAAAAAAAAATATATATATATAATTATTTAATGTTAAATTTATAATGTTTTGTTTGTAATATTAAAATATTTGTGTTCATTATTTGACTTGAATAATCCACTGTAATCATTTTTGTATTACAATGTTTGTAGCAGAGGCTATTTCCCCAAAATAAAATAACCAGAAGAGCCTATTCTTAATGTTGTCTTCTTGGTTATTATTTTGGGGGGCCACGCAGACCCGTTAGATTTTTAAGGGGGCCTCGGTGTTACTGAGTTTGGGAATGGCTGGTATCAGTTGCCTCAATGTTATCAATATACGAGTCGATCAAATATCCTCATGTAATAATAAATGCATATAATTGTATTCAATATCAAAAGATTGCGTTGCCCACTGACAGGTCCTGGGTTCAATTCCCGGTTGACACAGGGCCTTTCTGAGTGTATTAGGTGGGTGGATTAGGTAAACAGTTTAAAATGAAATGTCCTCCGTCCTTTCAGTTTCACTGTACACCGCCCTGTCCAATACACCTCTTTAAAATGTGTCCAAAGGGGAATAAAAGTTTGTTGAAAGCTGATAAATGCTGGATGACAATTGGCTTTACAGACAACAATTTGCTCCATCCCAATACTTTTTTCAGTACAATCCATACAGTTGAGATGCAGAACATTTATTCATTGAATAAGCCAAAGTAATATTGTTTTCTTTTGTCTTAGAGATAAATGCATGATACCCTGCACATTTTCTTATTGTGTTCTCTGTGATGCCCAGTTTTAGTATTTTAAGAACATTAAATCATTAATTAAATAATGACTAATTCATAAAACGTGTAGTAAGCGCATCGGGCATAAGCGCAAATGATCCCTCTCCTAATGAATTGAACTGCTTATTATTAACGTGTGGTTTGTGTGAAGGTGAAAAGCTGTTGTTGTGACCTGTGGGAGCAGGATCAGGATCAGGCGGTGACAGAGGCAGGTCCAGCCGCGCCCGGTGTGAAGGCTCCGGGAGCACAGCTGCAGCGCGTGTCGCTAATGACCGCGCACCGTGCGCACGTGCACACGGTGTACTTGAAGAAGTGACGAGGACTCAGCTCCTGTGGGACCTGCAGCCTCTGTCCTCAGCTCCCCTGGGACCCCGGGACCCCCAGCCTCTGTCCTCAATCCCACAGCTGCTCTTCACACTGCAGGTAACAGCAACAGCAACAGCAACAGCAATGAGAAAGGCCTGGACTGGAGAAATGATGACACAGGCGCAACAACCTAAACAACCAAAACAACCAAAACATCCAAAACATCCAAGTAAAATGGAAACAAAGTGAAACAGTATGTCCATATTGCAGAATTAAACATACATTTCAATAGGGAATGCAAGATTATTACGGTTTATCCATTTTTTCCAACTCATGATGCGATATACAGGTGTTCCTCAACTGGTAGCCTGATGAATTGTACGTTTGAGGGACGACATTTGAATATTTTATAAAAATAATAATTACATTTCTTTATCCATAAAACGCATGTAATTATGCATTTACGTTCACAGCTTTTGAAGACTGTTTGTCTTCCAAAACTGAATGTCCAGTCAAGATGATTAGAACTGCCTGTTTAATCCACTGAAGTGAAAAGATATGTTTTGAAGCCGTTCAAAGCCTCTTATTAAGTTACCAAAACCAATTGGATTCCATGGAAATACTTCTTTGGAACTATGCTTCCACAGCATTGTTAAATGAAGTTTACAAGTGTAACTGCAGTTCTGACTCCTGAATCGGTAGTATCTGAATCTTTTTTTAAACTTTTTAATTTGATGATTGAGATGTGTCAACAATCATTGCAGCGTTTGCTTTAGTATATAAACCTCAATCTATAATTAAACCATAAATGAGCGAGTCCCAACAATAAATCTTGTGCAATACAAGAAATTACAACTAAACTTTTTAAAGATCAAAGCCATAATTTGAGCAGAGACTAATATTTTTCAGTCATTAACATGCCTTTTTACTACTATACTACTGGTATTTACACAACAATAATTTAGTCATGAGTACAATCTTCTGCATTCATCTGTACTTTGAAACCATATTTGAGATAAATGTTCTTTAACCCTTCACCTGGTGTGACATTGCTGCTTTTTTTTCTCAATTCTATTGAACAACTACATAAATATAATATAATATTTACATTGGCTCCTTGTCAAATGGATTACTATGAAGAATATTAATAACCAAATCCTGGTGACCTTCCTGGTGGAAGGTCCTGGTGCACCTTCCTGGTGCTCTTCCTGGTCATGCACCTGATTACATTGAGGTTCTTGTCCAGCCTCAAGTCTCCAACTGGATCGTGAGGCCATGTTGGATTCTAGGGATAATATCAACAATTAAAGACACACATTTGTTTAGGCAGGCTTTTATGCCACAACTCATTTAGGCCGATGTTTACTGTGTTAGCGGTTGCATGATTGCTTTCTTGTACACCTTCAACATTTGTAAAGAACCTGTATATTTTTTTTATTGTATGTTTTGCACTTCAAGCCTTGTGTGTAAAAAGATGTATGTATAATGGTCTACTTTTATTTAAAAAAAACATTGTTTTGCATCTGTTAGGAAAGAGATTTATAAACTTATGGTAAGCCATGTTGACAGCAGTTAGCACTGCACTTTATCAATAGGACAGGAATATGGGGGGGGACAAGGTGCAAAGGTTTGTCGTCAGATGTTTTTATGAGTTTCCTGTGTTCAGAGGTGAAGAGGATCTCACCTGTCTGTGTCGCAGCAGCAACAGCAGCAGGAGGACTTCAGCTTACACCAGGTAAGGCACTAATATATGGCCTGTACGGTTTATAGATTTGGGCTACAAGAGCCATAATCAAAACAAAACTTGCATACTTTTTACGAATTACAAAAGCTACAAATACTTTTAACAATTTTTTTTATTCCTAAACGCTTCTAAAAAGCAAACGTTTCGGTTGTGTCTAACTGCATATTCTGGCTATTTGCACTGAACTATTCTGTAGAATGTGTTGCCAACCAACATAATGGTTGGTGTGAGCCCTTCACCTGGAATAAATACTGTATCCTCCATGGTAACATTGGTTACATTGACGCACGTTCAATATTCACTGCAGAAGAGCTGGAAAGAGTCATCACTGCTTTGAAAAATCTCTTTCATGTCACATTCTGAAGACAAAACATTTGTGTTTTCATTGGCCATGTAACCACTTGTTCAGCACTGACTATAGTTGCAGCAATAAACAAAACACTGATAATGTGCTTGCCAAATAGAAATGGTTGCTTGTACTGCCTCCAAGTGGTCTAGAGGAATATTATGGAATTGTAGGATCTGGTGCATTAAGGCATAGGCGCCTGCTTGAATAATCTTGCAGCCTTCTTTGCCTTCGGCATTACATTATGAAGAGTGACTGTATAAAGTGATCTCATGCCCTCCTGTCATCAGCACCATGGAGGCCCTGTTCCAGTTCCTGTTCTCTCCTCTGCCGACTTCTGCCATCATCTCTCTGTTCGCTGTGGCGGCTGCGACACTGTTTTATCTCAACTCCAGACCCAGCCCACTGCACTCCCCAGTGGACCTCAAATGTCAGACTGTTGGTGTCAAAGTAAGACAATATTTTGTATTAAGCGGGGTTGGCTGGTTTTCGATTTCAGCTACAGTGTCAATATTAAGGCTATATTTGTAAACTTTTAAATTTAAAAAGGTATGATTTTATTGTAAGCCTTTTCTGTTCCTGTTGTGCATGAAGTATAAATGCTTGTTCAAATGACGGCAGACCCGACCTTACTAAGTATTTTGGATTACCATGGGATCATGAGTACTTTGAAGCGTACCAATACAGTATGTCTTGACGTGTTTAGGATGGAGCTCGTAAGAGTGCTCTGCTGGAGAACAACAACCTCATGTCATGTTACTATGAAGACGCAAAGACTATCTATGAGGTCTTCCAAAGGGGTCTGAGAGTTTCAGGTGAGTGTTGTATTGAGATTTTGTTCAAGTTATGTTTTGACAGAACAATTACTGTACTGTATTTGTTAGAAAGGACAATATTGAAAACTACCAACGTAAATGGTTCTATGATAAATTGCTTGTTTCAGGCAATGGTCCTTGCTTGGGCTACCGCAAACCAGGGCAGCCCTATCAATGGTTGAAGTATCAGCAGGTAATGGGGGAAGAAGCTCAAGCACTTAATCTTTTAGACCTATTCATTTTTTTTTATCTTGTAGGTGTCGGACCGGGCAGAGCACCTTGGGTCTGGGCTGCTTCACAAAGGCCTGAAGCCAGGACCAAACACTTTCATTGGAATCTTTGCCCAAAACCGCCCAGAGGTATTAAAACCAAGAATTTAAGGATGAATGAGTTTAACCAGTTTATTTTTTCATTGTGAAGTAGCTTTTCCTCGTTGAATGAAGGATGTGAACCTTGTTTTGTGCAGTGGATTATTGGTGAGATCTCCTGCTACACTTACTCCATGGTGGCTGTTCCCCTCTACGACACTTTGGGTCCTGAAGCGCTCGTCTTCATCATCGACAGAGGTTCTAAACATTGTTATTCACCACTACATAGACCGAGCCCTCTCGAGCACAAGGCACATTTATTCAATATAATCAATCTAAATTATACAGATGACTTGGGTTTGAAATGATCTTACTTTTGACCATTGTATCAAGTGAATCTTGAAAAATACAAGTGTGTATTGATTGTACACAAGAGAAAATATTGGAATACAGTCAGTATACTGAATAATCAATATTATCTGATCAGTATCATGACTTCTTTTGGATTGTAACTGAATTATTTTTTTCCAGCTGAGATCTCTACAGTGCTCTGTGACAATCCGACTAAAGTCCAGACGCTGCTGCAGAATGTGGAGAAAGGCCAGACCCCGGTGCTGAAAACCATCGTGGTCATGGATCCCGTGGCCCCAGAGCTGGTGGAGCGCGGGCAGAAGTGCGGCGTGGAGGTGGTGTCCCTGCAGGAGGTTGAGGTAAACGGGGAAATTAACATTTTTAAGTCTCATGTAATTAACTGGTTTGTTTTCTTCAGACTCTGGGCAAAGACAACCTTCAAAAGCCAATGGTGAGTTTGCTATAAATGATTTATTTCAGTAATTGGGCTGTGATCAAAAGCAAAGTAAAATGCTTGGTTACAATTTGAACTCTAAATATTACTGAAGTGACTTTACCACAGAGTAATTGTTTTAATTAATCCCAAATGGTTGATGTAGAGAAAATAATTATTTGAAGGCCATTTTAAGGCAATGTCATGTCTTAGGTTCATCATATGCTGAAACTAAAACTGATCATTTTCACTAACTTCTGCTTTGCTTCAACAGCCTCCAAAACCAGAGGATCTCAGTATTGTGTGTTTTACCAGTGGCACAACAGGTATTGGAGAAAATAAAAAATAATAAAATGGATGATTCCTTTTATGAACATTACTTATTTAATGCGAGTGTCTTGTAGGAGATCCAAAGGGAGCGATGCTCACTCATGAGAATGTGGTCTCTGACGCAGCAGGAGCATTAAAAACCTTTGAGGTTTGTTCATAATATTCATGACTTTTCACTATTTCTGCCTCAAAGTTCAGGTGTTTGCATTTACAGTTTAGACGCTGATGAAGCCATGTTGTTTTTTTTTTTTCAGTCTTCTGTAGCTCTGACCCCAAATGACATCACCATTTCGTTCCTGCCTTTGGCGCACATGTTTGAGCGGGTTGTGCAGGTGCGTGCCAAAATGACTTTGGTTAATAAGTAAAGGAACACTTTCCTATGCAAATTAGTATTTTTTTTTTTTTTTTTTTTTTAAGATGTCTTTACAAATTTCAGTGTTGTTGATTTGGAAGGAAACTCTATATTTTGTGTAATTGAATTGTTGATCAATTTACTAAGGGGTGCTTTGGGAACAGCTGTTCAGGCCATTTCTCCATCCAATTGTGCCAAAGCCAAAATTGTCTGATTCATTTGGAGTTTTCACTAGATGGCAGTGTTTCAGCATTCTAGTTACCAAATACCTGAGAAATCCCTTTTGTATTTCATGACCAAGAGTCGGTCCAAGGGACAAAATGGACATGATGCATACTGTAATTTTTATTTTGTTTATCTTGCACAGCTGGTGGCGTACGGCGTGGGAGCCAGAGTGGGCTTCTTCCAGGGCGACATCAGACTTTTGCCTGACGACATGAAGACGTTGAAGCCCACAGTGTTCCCTGTGGTTCCCCGGCTTCTCAACAGAGTTTTTGACAAGGTAAGGAACAAACCAATAGAATGGTATACGGTTTAGAGCTGAATGACTTTAGTAAAATTTACTATAGTAGGATTCTCAGCAGTGTGCAAAATTTGACAATATTCAAGAGCATTTTATAAAAGCTCTAAAAGTCAAGTTGAGGGAAAATATTTGGGTTAGGGTTAGCACAGCAGTTGTTTTTTTTGCTTCTGTTCTTTTGGAAAAGTTGTTTTCATTGATTTTAAAAGAATGACATGCCTTTTTTTTAACCACTTTTTTGAAGATCTACAACTTGGGTCAGTAGCTACATTGTGTGAAACGACACTTGTATACGTTTTTGATATCCATAATTAACGTTAGGGTTAGCTTAATTTCAAATCTTACTGATATTATTGTCTGCTTTTCTTCAGGTTCAGAGCGGGGCCAAAACTCCCTTTAAGAAATGGCTTTTGAATTTTGCAGTGGAGAGGAAATACTCTGAGGTGAAAGATGGTATTGTCAGAAAGAACAGCATTTGGGACAAGATTATATTTAACAAAGTTCAGGTAAGCCTCAAAGGCCTCTGTGATTGTATTGCTCTTGATTGGTATTGATGTTCGTGTTTTTTTTTTTTTTTTTTTTAATAGGAATCGTTTGGTGGTCGTGTGCGGATTATGGTGACTGGAGCTGCTCCCATCTCTCCAACTGTGCTCAACTTTCTGAGAGCAGCCCTCGGGTGTCAGGTAAACAGGCTGAACAGACTTGTATGTAAATGTACTACATACAAGTCTGAAGTTAAAATGTGTATGAAAATATGAGGAAAAGCAGTGTTCTGCTGCTAAATGCTTCACAAAAGGACAAGTTTGTTGATCCATTTATAAATGTATGAATAGTTATATAACTGTTTTTAAAAATGTTGCCCTTGTTAAAATCTTTGTTTTTGGCAGTACATTTAAAATTGCTCCAGGCAGGGTTACGCATTCTACTGAAACTCCATCCATCCATTTTCTACCCTTTAATCCATTTCGGGGTCAGGGGGGTGGCAATCAGATGCCACCCAAGTCTCATAGCACCAGCCCCTCACTGACCCTCTGCAGGTGGTGAGTCCACAGGAGGACGGCTGCTCTGAGTGTGAGCATAGCCTTGATCTTTCAGTGGGAGCTTTGGGCAAAGTGGGGTTAAGTGTCTTGCCCAAGGACACAACAACAGCAGTCATCAGTGGGAGTCGGTGGAGAAGGTGTAGAGGTGGGAAACTGTATCTGGAATTTGCAAAAACTGCTTTTTTGTAAATGGAAAATTGTAAACCTTTTCACATAATATTCTAATGCCACTTAATTTGCAAAAACACAACTTGGATAGGGGCACTTCTCAGTATTATTCCGTGTGATAATAATTAGAAAAGAAGGCTATGTACAAAGATTTAGCTGATACTACTAAGCCAAAGTGCTAAGGTTCAGGGTGTTTATGAATCATCAAAGTGAAACTGATTCTTGCTCTTAGATCTTTGAAGGTTACGGTCAGACTGAGTGTGCTGCAGCCTGCAGCTTTACCATGCCAGGTGACGCCACTTCAGGTATGTCCCAGTTCTAGCCTGTGTCATGATATTGTAGGAGCTAGTTAATAGTTAACTTTGTTGTTTTTGTTAGGACATGTGGGAGCGCCGCTGCCCTGCAACTTTGTTAAGCTGGTAGATGTTGAAGAAATGAATTATTTTGCCTCAAATGGCGAAGGAGAAGTAAGTTACTGTGTTCCTTCAAATAGCATAGGTTTTTCCTCCCACTCAGGTTATGAGATGAAATTTAGACATTTACACATTCTAGCACTAATGATATGATGTATAAAAGTTCTCACATTTTTAATTTCTTACTAAAAAAAGTCTTTCTTTCCTGGTGTTTGTCATCGTTCTTGCTCAACGGACTGTATCTAGACTTCATAAACTGCATGCCACTTCACAGGTTTTGTGATGTTTTTCTAGGTTTGCATAAAGGGCAGAAATGTGTTTAAGGGATATTTGAAGGACCCAGAGAAGACTGCAGAGGCTTTGGATGAGGACGGCTGGCTTCACACTGGAGATATTGGGAAATGGCTGCCGGTAAGACGGGGCTCATGTTCAAGCTGGAGTAGCTAACTTTGAAACCATATATCTGATGACATGTTAATATTCCCTCATACTCAACATTTTGGGTCTATCACTAGTTTCACTTGTAATGTATTTCTGTCCTAGCTGAGTATGCTTTCACTTTTTTTCAATCTTTTTTTTTTCCATGAAGGCTGAAAGTTGGGATCCAATTTATTCACAGCTTCAAGACTGTTTTGTCAAGTTTGGTATATTTATGGTCTTTAAATTAGCACATTACTTTTGTTCTAGAGCGGAGTTTTGAAAGTTATTGACCGTAAAAAGAACATCTTCAAACTGGCTCAAGGAGAGTACATTGCACCAGAGAAAATAGAAAACGTGTATGTGCGCAGTGGACCAGTCGCCCAAGTGTTTGTGCACGGAGACAGTCTGCAGGTATCACCACGATCCCCATTATTGTATGTTACTGTCTGAGATCTATGTGAACTCTCCACTGGTCTGTTGTAGTCTTGCCTGGTTGCTGTCGTTGTCCCAGATGCTGAGATTCTTCCAGGCTTTGCAGAAAATTTGGGGGTGAAGGGAGACTTGGAAAATATGTGCAAAAATAAGGTAACTGCTACTCTAACTTCTGGCATTCATAGTACAAACCATATTCAGTTATTTTCTTGACTGGTTTTACGTCGTTTTTGCAGGAAATCAAAAAGGCAATTCTTTCTGACATGACTACATTGGGGAGAGAAGCTGGCCTGAAATCATTTGAGCAGGTTTGTCCATGTGAATATTGAATGGAAGACACTTTTCCAGTAAAACGTTTTAAATACATAATAATCTTTGACTTAATACATCTGTTACTACACTCCTGTCTTGCAAATGTATTTCTGATTTGACATGCTCTATAGACTACAGGAATCATTTCGAATTAACATTGAAAGAACCTTAACCGAACGAGTCATTGAAGGCTGTTCTTCCACTTTGACATAACCTTGCCTTATTCTTGGTCTTATCTCAGTTGTATCTCTGGTATCTGCAGGTGAAAGACTTGCACCTTCACCCGGAGATGTTCACGATAGAGAATGGACTCCTGACCCCAACGCTGAAGGCCAAGCGGGCAGAGCTCAAAACCCTGTTCCAGTCCCACATCACTCAGATGTATGCCTCCCTGCAATAATGACACTCTACAGACCTTTCATAATAAAATATGACTTATAAATGTCAAAGGGTATTTATTTGAAATGTACTATTCTACGCTGTCTTTGAGCAGGTGCAAAGTTGACGGTACAATTGCGTCCTCAGTGGTTAAAACCATATTAGTAGGTATATTTTCTGCTAGATTGCATTAGTGCTTCAGTTAGTGTTTTTTAGTCTCTGGACTCTGGGCCCTAATTTGAACACCTTAAAACTGAACAATGATACTATGTACAAAGAACAACTCAAAAGGAGGCGGTCAGACCATAAATAGTTTGAGGGCCCACCCCCTTTTGGTCAAAGGTGCATTTTTATTTAAAAAGAATAAAGTTCTTAAAATAAATCCAAGGGCACTTTTGTATATTGGTTTCAATGCTGGGTTATAGCTTTATGTGGCACTATATATATATATATATATTTTTTTTTTTTTAAACTTATGAAATGTATACCAAGCATTCAGATAGCTCAAGGCTAATAGTTTGGAGGTTATTCAAAATGACATATCAATGCATTTGTTTTTAATTATTATTTTATATATTTTTTGGTTTACTTTCACCCGATGGATGCATTATGGCGATGGCGTACCCTCCATGAATCCTCGTGTAAACACTGCCCCCTAGCGGCCGTATCTTTAGTTTCACTTGGCTCTCTCCAGAGTCTGCAGCGGTCTTCCCACCTGGACTTTCACAGACGCTGGGTGCACACTTCCTCACGCTTCCTGGATTTTAGCTACAAACATTCTCACTTTGATAGGACTAATGACCCAATGCCTCATCTGCGCGTAACTTGGATCGCCTCCGTTCCGCGCGTAAAGTTTTCTCCATGACTTTACCTGAGAAGCAGCTCGACATGGCCTCTTCCGCAGGTGACCACGAAGAGCAGGTATGGTCCTGGAGCGGACTTTAGGCTCTGTTATCTTAATCTAATGACTGTGATATGTTTATAAGGCACATGCTGTAATGGCGTGTCATAGCAGAAAGCATTATTCAGCCTGCGGCAGCGCGCATAGTTTACACAGACAGGATTCCCGTTGGTTCAGTAAAAGAGAAAGTTTTGTATTGGATTTTGTTTCCATTCGTAACTTAATCCTGTCTTTACCATGCTCTGTGCAAGAAAACCCAGGCTGTAAGATGTGATCCTGAGTCTATACGAGTTTGGAATGGTTCTTTATTTTCTAGTTTTAACATTGTAAACTTCTGGTTGTGATTTACAATAAACAGTACATCTGCAACTATCTCAAACTCTGCACTGAGATGTTTTGTAATTGTCTTTTTGATTGGTTGTACATAATATGGACGTGGTTTTCATGTGATATTGACACACGAAGTCAGGGTTTGATTACTTTGTTTAATCTTTATGATCCCTATAACGTACCGCAACTATTAAAGCTGGGGTACCTAACTTTCAAACCAAGTGTCTAATACATACATTTACAGTTACCAGTTCATATAACAGTTTGATCTCTAGTTTTCATGTGTATTTTTGACTTCATAGTCAAAGAACGACCATCAACCAATCAGATCTCAGCCCATAGTGTCAAATAATGATTCACAGGGCTCAAACTTATGGAAAATATTAATCTTAAGAATGTAATGAGATTGCTGTTGGAACAAACTACAGGGATTACCTTATTTTCAGACAAGTCACATACCCCAGATTTAGCCCAATTTCATATTTTTTTATGAATGACCAAACAGCATTTTATTTTGAGTGGGACAACACACATTAATGAACAATCATATGCAAGTTGTACATTTGTATTCTGTTAAACTGCTTTATCCCAGCACTATTCATTCATCTAAAAAATTAACTTAGTGATAGAGCAAAACATAAGAGTCTTCTCGTATGGGCTTGTCTCTTTCTCTTCCACCTGCAGCATGTCTCCCTCAGTCATCCTATTAATGTTTGACTGTAGGCCGTCCGGGGGAAATGGCCTGCGTTGTTGTCCGAGGTAATAACTTTGGAGTGCAGCTTTATTGCGGTAAAAGCAAATATTGAAACTCCACCTGTGTGTAAATGGTGCTCCGAGGAACAATTGTGTCATTTTTGGTTGAACATCACAGCTGCAAATGTGGAACCAGCTGGGAGACCATGTGGAAATCCATTCAAAACATTTCCCATGTGATCTATTATCAGTAGTGACTAATTATAATGTCATACCATAACTCTTGTACTATAAAAATGTGAGGACTAGAGAAAAACAAGTGCAGTTGAGGTTGAATGACTACTACTAATACTTGTATGTATTGAAAGGCCAGTTTATTTGTCAGCTTTATCGGCTGCTGTCATTTTAAAGCTGGGGTACCAAACTTTCAAACTACAACAAATGAAAGTATGTAATAAAATCCCTGTAACTACTTTTCACTCTCAAAACATTTTAGTTCTGTCACATGCACTTTTAAACCTAGACAGACTTTAGATCAGACAGAAAAGTGAAAAAGAGAGGACCAACCCCACTCAGCCAATCAGCTCTCAGTCCAAATGGTCAAAAAGTGACTCTCAGGGCTCTTTCTTACAAGTATACAAAATAAATGAGAGATTTATGCTTGTTACAAACACAATTTATTATTTAAGAAGAAAAAAAACGTACCCCAGTGAGTATATGAGCTTATGGACGTTCCCAAATCATTTTCAATTTCCATATTTTAAATCGATCCACAAGTTTTGCCGATAGTTTGTTGCATTTGTTCCGACACAGGACATTGATTTTACTTTGAGCGGGTCAGCTGTTTTTGTATACATTAAATCCGTGTGAGTTTCAACTTGTTGCAGTGAGAAAAGTTGGGCTGAATCAGCGATCTGCATGCGCCTGTGTTTGTGTGAAGAGCTATTGATTCACTAGCGCTGGCTTAGGGACATGGGGGGGTTGTGTGTTGTGTGTGTGTGTGTGTGGGGGGGGGGGTGACCTCAGTGATGGTGAGGTAATGGTGTCTGTTACTGTTACAAATGAGACATGTAGCAGCGTCTTCTGTTTGGCCAAAATTGCTATAAGAAAAGCCAATGGTAATACTACGATGCATAAGAAAATATTTGTCCATTCAACTTTGTGATGGAAGAGAAGTGTTGCTCAGTTTGAACCCTGGTGCAGTTAAAACCCATGTTCAAACTGCAATGTAGTGGGGAATATTGACAAAAATAATATCTGTACTGTAGCTTTTAGAAAATTTTGAGTATTGTATTATTTTAAAGATATTTTAATCACCAATCAAAAATCTAAAAAGGACTGAAGATGCAGAAATGTAAGTTCTATTTTTAGCGTTTTTGAGATTTTAGAGGTTTGCAGTCCATATTTCAATTTCAATGTCTTTATTTGTTCAGGAACATTCACAAAAATACAATTTGTATATTTACTTTCACATCACAACGGATATTGAATACTTTACTTTTTGTTTGTGTGTATCTTTGTGACTTGCATGGATAACGCAGTCTTAAAATAATATAGATTTCAGCAAAGACGCTTGAGTCCAGCTGCAGTCTAGGTTACTGTATCTATTTCCTTTCTTTTTAATCGTTGAAGGTTCAAAAGTTTTCACAAGAAACATAATTAGATGTATTTCACAACTGCCCTTGAGAAACGTCTTTCTTTTTGTGATTAAAACTACAAAGTATAGACACATTTTTAACATGCATTGACGTACAGTACCACCTGAATGTGATCATCAGGGAATAACGGTCGTATGAAAGTAAAATCTGGTCCTTCTCATTCCCAAACTACAGCAGTATCTCTCTCACTACACAAAAGCTCTGTTCTTGTCTGCACATCTGCCCTACGGTTGAATACGTACCAGTTTGTAATCCACGACCCAGGATGTCTTTGAGTGAGCTGCTCCTTACAATGCAGTCACACAAGGGGCTGCTACACATTCACAGAGCTGAGGACAGACTGACACACACGCACACACACACACACAGACACACAGACGCACACACACACACACACACACAGACACACAGACGCACACACAGACGCACACACACAGCCTCCTCATCCCGTCTTTTACTCATGGACTGTGGAAGTGTGATGGAGCAGGCTGCTGTCCCCAGAAGGCCCATGGGTTTGTACAGGGCTTCTAAAAGGATGGATTTGAGTAGGCATTTACACATGATGAGGATGAGGAATGTAAGTGGAAATGAGAAATACTTTTTTTATTTGGAAAATGTAACTATGATGCATTGTTTGTCTTGAAGCATGAGTACCTATAACTTTCAAACCAATCACAATGGACCTTTGTAGTATAATTTCCATCTAACCAGTTCCTCGCACTAATTAGTTTTATCATAGTTTCCACAAGCAGGTTTTTTTGGCTTCTGTCACATCTTTACTAACACTATCACAATTGTAAACCGCTTTAAGACTCCGATGTGCAGTGAAAAGGCGGTATATAAATAAAGATTACTTACTTACTTACTTACTAGCCTGGTCGTACCACACCATAGTACAAATTACATTTCGCACTGCGGTCTGGAGGTGCTCCATTTAGCTCCGTGAACAGGTGGGAGGGGTTAACTCCTTTTGCAGATTGAAACGATTGGATCTGAGTTTACTGCGACGTTTGTAATGCGCTTAGCCATCTCCTTAGCCGCTAACGGAGCCCGTGGGGAGTAGCGCCACAATCTTTGCCAGCAGTCACATTTGCTAAACATTCCTCTTGCTTCGGCTTCAATTTCTTGATAGAACCAGACCGGATTACTTTACTATCGCATTCTTCGCCATTGCCAAACTACAACCTGCCCGTTCATCGCAAACTCTTGACGTCACCCACATCTAAACAAGACCCGCCTCCCACGCTCGCTGATTGGTCGGTCGAAATTCAAGTGATCGTAAACGCAAACACAGGGACCAGACCCAGACGTTACATGCAGTGAAATGATGATTGAGCGGAGTGTACGGATGGATAAGGCCAGGCTACATCTTTAGATTGACCAAAGAGAAAACCGTCATCAGCCAATCAGCACGTTGTATACCCCAGTTTTAAAGGGGAC